TCTATGTTTCCCCCTCAAATGGCTGTGCCCCGCCTCCAGCGTGCCCGGCGTCATGACGTCACAGGGAAGTGACATGCATGTGGCACACGCGCGCTTTGTGCGCGCACACACACACCGGGAGCAAACCCAAAGTCCCCCGCCGGCAGGTAAGTCCGGACTTGGCAACCCTAGCCTACATAAGCTTCAGAACAGATGGGATAACGATGCAACAAGAACGTATCACTTGCGCGTTGCCTGAGAGTACTATATACTGGTATGGACATAAACATGAGCATGAACATGAATAACTTCTTGTAAAATAGTCAAAAGTGTTTAATACTCAGACTATCAATGGATCTCACTCTATTGGAAAGAAGAGATTTCTTTGCTTTTAAAAACTTTTATTTCTAAGGGTAAAAGGTACACAGGATAACTACAAATAAACGTAACACTAACAGCCAGGGCTATTTTTGGGCAGGAACGCACAGGAACGGAGTTCCAGCTGGCTCCCGAGTTGGCCACGCCCAGCAGGAACTCATTAGCATAATAGGCCACACCCAACAGCAGGAACTCATTAGGATTGGTTACATTAGGGGTGTGTGGCCTAGGCCCTGGGTTTTGACAACAAACAAGGTAAAGAGAATAAGAATCAAAAGGTGGGTGTGGCTGGATGACCACACTTCTGGTAACATGGGGGTGTGGCCTAATGTGCTAATGAGCTGTGCTGTCAGGGGTGTGGCCCAATATGCTAATGAGTTCCTGCTGTTGGGTGTGGCCTATTATGCTAATGAGTTCCTGCTGGGCTTTTTCTACAAAAAGAGTCCTGCTAACAACTACATTTTCTAAGCTGTCTATAGTCAACACTAACACAGAGATAATGGAGAATCTGTCCTTCTTCTCGACCCCTAGAAAGGAAGTCAACTGAAACAAACAACCAGTCTGTATCACAATAGAAGCTACTTTTCCCGGGCTAATTCCCCACTGGCTTACTGCCAGGTATCCCTTCCAGGTCAATCTAAACAATAGCAATACTAGGCAAACAAGTTAACCCAATAATGACTGAATTGTCAGACCTTGTAAACACATGCATTTCCAACATTACTAGGGTCATCTAGAGTGCTGTGTTGTCAAAGAGGAACTGATCTCTGTCACCTGGAGATCAGTTGTAATTAGCAGATCTCCAGGCCCCACCTGGAGGTTGGCAACACTATCACCGAATGTTGTTTCTATACCCTTGGCTTGTTGTTTGTTTTTTTACTGGTTTCTTTTAACGCGGGTAATTTATGGTGTTGATAATTATTTGTGAGCTGCCGCATCCATATTAGTGACGCCCTAAATAAATGAATTAATGGGACCCCTGCAGAGAGCATAATGAGAATTCTCCAGGCCCGTGCGCCTTCTTTGCCTCTCTAACTTTCCTTACCAATCCAGCACATATCCAGCAAGGGTCCCTACTTCCTTCTCTCTTCCCAACTCTGCTACCCAAGATCCTTTGCACCGGAGATACCAGGAATCCTCTCCTTAAGCTGTGAGCAATGCTCCCTCTAAGCCGTGGAGTCTTGTGAGCAAAAATCATTCTCTGTGAGCTGCTGGCATTAAAGCTGTGAGCGAGCGATTTGGCTGCGGCATCAACTGGTTTGCTCTGGAGCCCATCCTTCCTGAGGTAAGGCCAAAACATGTGTGAGCCGGAGGCTAAAAAACTGTGAGCTAGCTCACACTCACTCAGCTTAGAGGGAACCCTGGCTGGGACCTGCCCACAATGGGGCTGACGCCCTCCGTCCTCCTCCCACCACCTGTTTCCTTTACAAAAAGTCATGGATCTTTCTTAACCTCCAGCATGTAAATGCCGATATCAGAAACCGGACAGCGCTTGTATTTCCCTAAGGGTCCTGCAAGCTACAGAAACACTCGAGAGGACAAAAAGAGACCAGCTCAGAGTGTAGTGCCAACCATGCAAAAAAAACCGAAACCGCTGGAAATTTCTCCATTATTAAGTGAGAGTTAATAATAGTGATTCTCTTGGATGTATGGTAACAAAGCTCAAAATGACACCCTGTTAAAGACCCATCTTGTTGTGGATTCCATCTCCATATATTCCTCCAATTGCACCGACTGCCTCTTGCCATTTGTGCGCTCTTTATTTTGCATGCTTCGTCTCTGCGAGAACAATCGGGGAGAAGTCAGGCAGAAAGCAGATTATCTTTTCCCCACACAATGGAGAGGGTTCTTAGTAATTTCCAGGCTCTCTGGTGGGCTGTTATCCAGGAAAGAGAAATTACTGCTGCATCCAAATTTACCTGCAGTGGGAAACAACACAAGCA